GAAGGAATATTATGTCAAGACCTACAGGCGGATGTGTATCCGACATAATGACTAAAGATCTGAGTGGTACTAGTTTCGGAAATGAATAAGAAATTGATTAATTATTTTGTCAGTAATTTAATTAATCAACGGACGTTATATCTTAAACATAGGGAAGTAAATCGATCAATAAGATTAATAAATATTAATCAAGTGGAGGTATGATTTAATTGATTAAATTGGAGCCAAATGGGGAGAGCAATAATAATATTCTAGGGGGATATATTATTATTTAATTTTATTAGGATCTTAGGAATTAATTTTGTTCCTTATTTAATATTCCATGAGATAGGGAATATTCGTTCTAGAATATTACCTAGGGTTAGGAGACTTGAGAGTCTTCCATAAGGTGATGTTAGGAGAAAGGAATCATGACCTAGTTGGGATTAATAAGTGGAATAGAATTAGGATTCCTTGGCCTAATGGGATAAGCCCAAATTTGACACCGCCTTAAGGTCCCTAATGGAGCCTATAAGTACACCATGTCCCAACCTCTTGTCTTGTACATGTGAGTTACGATTTTAAGGTTCCTATAAGGAAGAGGAAAATTGAGATTTATACACAATAGAGAGTTAGGGAGTTCGATTAATCGCTCCACCAAGATTAGTCGAAGTAGGTGTTTAGGTAATCCATTAGAAGATTTTAAGGTGATATTTATCAAACCTTGAAGATCCAAATACTCTGGCCACTACTCGCCGCCGACATACCTCGCTCAACCAGGACTCCTCGCTCAACCTGGACTCCTCGTGCCCCAGGAAATGTGCCGCATACGATCGGCATGACACATACACTGCTCGCATAGTCCTCACAGGCATAGGAAAGCCGCAGCGTGTGACCCGCACGCACCCGCTATTCCTCGCCTGATCAGGACTCTTCGCGCGTTTAGGAGACGTCCCGAGCACGTACCCGCGTGAGCCCAGACGCCGCACGCCTAGTCCTCACAGGCATAGGAAAGCCGCAGCGCGCGACCCGCACGCACCCGCTATTCCTCGCCTGATCAGGACTCCTCGCGCATATAGAAGATGTCCCGAGCACATACCAGCATGAGCCCAGACGTCGCACGCCTAGTCCTTCCAGGCATAGGAAAGTTGACACACACGCGCATCTGTCCGCAACCCGAACCGCCGCAATCCGAACCCGACCAACTTAATCCGGTGATTCGTTCATGATTCAACACTCGACTAGAGTCGACAAAGGCCAAACCCTTTAACCGATTGGGTTGTGGTAAACAGACGATCCCCATCAATGGAAATCAGAACGACTCAGAGTCGGCAAAAATTTTAAACCATAAATCCTAATCCTAACTATAGATTCCGCTGCGTTAGGATTTATTATTTAATAGATTTGAATGTGCACATTGTCGACGTTCCTAATAGAACCCAATACTCCCACCGCCTGGCCGCGACCCCGAAACCCATCGCGACTGCCGCCTCGCCTCCCGAGACCGCCGCGATTTGTCGGGTCATGATCCATCATCGTCTGGAGTGCCACACGCAAGTCTGTCATCCCCGCCATTAGATCCTGTACGTCGCGCCCAATCTCCTGAAATTGTCTGTCGAAACCCTCAGATTGACGGGTTAACGACGCGATTGCGGCGTCGCGGCGCTTGTCAGCGATATTCTTTGGCGGCATCAGGAACGTGCTTGACTCTGAGTACTAGATGATGCAGCGCAGCTCAACGAAAGGGAACGAGAAGAGAATTCTCAAACTCAATAATTTTTATTCATTGTCATCTGCCGCTAACTTTGCCCAGATCACAAAATAAATAGAGTCCTACACAAAACTAGATACCTAGCCTGTTAACTAAAAAAGATAATAAGCTGCTAATTAATAAAAGCAAAATAAAGGGAATAAGTAAATAGAGCAACAAATAATAATATTCTAGAGTCTGATGGGATCATATTTAGCCAAATATGTGAGGGCGATCTCGTCGCCATCATTAGGTGTTTGAGTCAGGTCTGTACCTATGGTTATTACATTCAACTCTCGGCGAGTCACCCTTATCAGGATCATAACCCATCGAGCTACCTGGATGTCCTCGAGTAATCTCCTGCTCCACAGGTCACTTCCATTTGGACCTCGGCCTAATGTCGACCTCTATATTCATTGCAACTTATCCATTTCACCAAGTCTCTTCTCAATTTAATGACACTTGGGCTACGGTTCACCAGTAGGGTCATATCAAATCTACACTAAGATTTCTAAAATCTTAAAAGGTCATTAAAAATCTCAAATAAATATACCCTATGTACACCAAGATTTCTGAAGTCACTAAATTTTAACGCAATCAAAATTGGATTGTCACTTCTTGTTGGTAAGTATTTGAGTAGATATATAATTGGTAGAAAGATTGTTCGAATCTTTAGTACGCTGTATAACTAGGAAAGTAGTGATTACCATTTGACCAAATAATCCGAACTTGAAGGATACTTTAGTCTAACCACATTTTTATAGTAACCATTCACACTCAGGATAGTAGTAGATCAAATAGATTATCGTTGGTTTTGCTCGTGACATTAAGAACGTAGGAGGTGAAAATGATATTGGTCAACAAAACTGGTAATTAGGGGTAAGTAAAACCGAGTCGAACTGATGTATTCGGTGCGGTTCGGTTTGGGTTTTAAAGAGTTCGGTTACCTTGCTGTTTGGTTTTTGGAAAACCAAAAACAATTCGCTGCAGTTCGATTTTGTGTCCGAAGGGTGCGGTTTTATTTAACCGAACTGCACCGAATATCATAAAGTGTCACTTTATTACTTACATACACCGGCACTGTTGTGATGAGGGTGAGACCAAGGTTGTCAAAACCGGACCGGTCATCGAACCGGTGAAGCTACTGGTTCAATGGTTCACTGGTCGGACCAGTAGTCGAACCGGTCGAACCAGTTTATTTATATATAATTTTTATTTATTTTATATATACAATATATAATTTTATATATTTTTATCATTAATTTTATAGTGCATAATGACATTTTTTAAATAAATAAAGAAAAAATAATGAGAGACAATATAAAGTGTATAATGATTAATGACATTTATAGTGTATAATTTTATATAATGACATTTTTTTAATGAATAAACTTTTTTGGGCATGAGAAACAATATAAAGAAAGAAATATTGAGAAAATAAAAAATGACATTTGTAGTGTATAATGACATTTTATAGTGTATAACTTTATATAATGACATTTTTTTAATAAATAAACTTTTTTGGGCATGAAAAACAATATAAAGAAAAAAATATTGAGAAAATAAAAAATGACATTTGTAGTGTATAATGACATTCTATAGTGTATAATTTTAATAATGACATTTTTTTAATAAATAAACTTTTTTGGGCACGATAAACAATATTTTGTCCTTCGCTTTATACTTTTTGCCCAACAGCCCAAATGCAATGTGAGGTCAAGATTACAATTATTTACTTGCATATAAGGCCCACTATGGCCCAATTTCAGCAAGCATAAATGGGGACATCCCACATCGGAAAAGAAAGCAAAGCAATTCAAGTATTTAATTGATTACATAAAGGATTTTGTACACAGCCACAAGCCTACAGTCCAGACCGCTAGACCGCTCGGACCGCTTCCGATTTAATGATTATGCCGTTTTTGAACCGGTTCAACCGGTCTTTATCCCGTTTTGGAGAAATACGGTTCTTAACAGCAAACCGGACCGGTGTCTAGGCCGGTTCCCGGTTGAACCGACCGGTCCGGTCCGGTTTTGACAACCTTGTGTGTCTAGTTTTGGAGAAATACGGTTCTTAACAGCAAACCAGACCGGTGTCTAGGCCGGTTCCCGGTCGAACCGACCGGTCCGGTCCGGTTTTGACAACCTTGTGTGTCTAGTTTTGGAGAAATACGGTTCTTAACAGCAAACTGGACCGGTGTCTAGGCCGGTTCCCGGTTGAACCGGTCGAACCGACCGGTCCGGTCCGATTTTGACAACCTTGGGTGAGACACAGTTTCCAATTTTCATTTGTACAAACAATTAACAAATAACTTATATTACATAAACATTTACATTTAAAAATTAAAAATAAAATAGTTTTCGCATTTTACTCTCAGGCTCTCAACCCTCAAGTCTCCAGCAGCCGCATCTTTGTTTTCACTCTCAACTCTCAAGTTCACTCCAGTCGTCCGACGCTCTCAACTGCGCTCGCCATTGGTTGCTGGACTATTTATACGAGGGAATGAATATGAGAAACAGAAATAGGGAGAAGGTGGATTTGGCGTAAACATCAATAGCCGACTGCTGATTTGCTTCGGGCCGAGAAATCGACAACTCACCTCTCAGAATAAATTCAATTTTGTTAGTAAAACCGAAGTCTGAAATCTTGTGCATTATGCATTGTATCCTTGCTTTTTTGGTGACTGAATTGAATAACTTAGATATATTATTTTGGATGTTGTTTCTTTTTCTCAGATTTCCATTTTCAATTCTTCCTACTCTAATTTCCCACAAGATTATTTTCTTGTGGTTATGCCCAAAAAAAAAAAACCACACCGAAAATGAAATTTTCGGCTCGGTTTCGATTCGGTTGTTCCCTTGTACAGTGCAGTTCGGTTCATATATTTTTGCAACTTCGATTTTCGGTTTTCCGCGGTTCGATGCGGTTTTGCATTAAACGAATATGGTTTAATAGTTTTAGTTTCTCAAGCCAAAAGTGTCACACACTCTTATCTGTTGTGTACATAACAGTTTTCCTTACTAGGATATATGGTGGGTGCCCAAATTGAGTGATGATTGAAATCCTATATCCTGCTACCGTTTCCATTACAAGCAAAATTGAATTGGACAAAAGTGGAAAAGTGATTCAGAAGTGGCCTTTAAATACTTCTGTCTCAAACACCCACTTTTACAACACCACTAAGTGGTAGTTTTACAAGAAAGTAGTAATTTTAAAATCTGCATTCATGAAAGGAAAACAAAACTAGAAAATAATAATAAAAAAAAAAAATTAAGGGCTCGCAGAAGCACGGGTGAAAGCAGATCCTTTTCTCCTCCTCCTACGCTTCTGCCTAATTTTACAAAAACTCCATAGGAGAATAAGCCCTGGCAACACCACAGCTCTCTTTAGTCAAATAACAAATAAGGGTAAACTACACCAACAATTAAGTTATATCAGGATGGCATCCCTTACCAGATACTGCAACAATAGCAGGCATAAGCCAGTGGCTCGCAACTAATTCCAGGAAATCAAGCTGCACCACAAATTCGATTAAAGAAGTAAGAGGACCAGGCTACCAATTTTACTACTAAAAGAAAAAAATAAATAAAAATCATGACCCCTACTATAAACTATTTGGTAGTTGCCACTTACTTCATCTCCATACAAGTAGCCCAGATACTTTTTCTTCCCTAAAGAACGGTCATCTTTGTTTCCAACTGATATCAATTTCTTAACCGGAATCTTCCCTAGTGTAGAATTTAGTGCGCGGCCCAAATCAAAGTCGGCATAGCCAGGCAATCTACGGTTTCTAGTCTTGACATTCAAATCGTAGCCATTTTTCCCCCATACTTCAAACCTTGAGTCACGCCCACATAACAATTTCTTACCGACAACAGCAGAGTAAGTTGAGAAATTTACGTCTGCTCTGCGGGATGGTAGCTGGTTGTTGTCTTGGTGCAATGTTTTATCCAGTCTGCTCGAGTCCAGGAAAAGCATGGGGTCTCGAATACTTCTCGACGTAAAATCTAAAATCTTTTTCAGGAGCCAATAACAGTTTCTGACCATATGGCTGCTGTCCAGGCAATTGGTATCTCCATATACGGATATTCTGCCACTTCCAACCTCCAAAAGTCCGAGAATTGGGGAATCTGCCTGTTTTTCAAGGGGAGGACACATTGTGAAAAAATCATAACACTGCAAGAATGTAATTAGCTTAATCTGAAATTAATTCGACCCAAAATATACAGAGAGATAATGGCACGGCAAGAAGTTACCACAACAGTCGATAAAAAAAAAAGCACTCGAAACATAACCTCTTGACCACATGTCTAACAAGCAGAAGCAACATAAAGAGCGCAGAGTAGGCTGGTAAACAAAGCTAATTTTTTTGATTGTATTCGATATTCGTGATTCGAATTTGAATACGAATAATGTTTTATATTTGGAAGTTAAACGAATCCGAATTCGAATTTGTAGATATTCCATTCGAAATTATGGAATATTCGATTAGTTAACGATAATTATATAAATTTTATAATTTATATGTAGTATAAATTTTGTTCAAAATATATATTGTTATATTTCTAATATTTTTATAACATAAAAAGTAGAACATCCCAAATTAACAATTTGTCCTAAAAACATCTCAAATTGGATAGGAAAACATAAACAATATTTTTGTAACTACAATTTTTTTTTTAATTATAATATTTTTTTGAAAATGAATTTCGAATATGTTCGAATATTATAAACGAATCAAATACGAATCAAAAAACGAGTTTGTTTGCAAATCGAATACGAATTTGAATTCTCGAATATTTGAATGAATCTGAATCGAATATTTTAGTATTCGCTTTGATTCGATTCGTTTACAACCCTAGCCCGGAGTACCAATCCCAAGGTAGCACCACCTGAGTGGCTCAAATGATATAAAAGGATACACACATTAAAATGTAACCATCAAAATCTTGAGTCCATATGCAAAGATAAGTCAAAACGAAGCCGGAGTCTTATTGCCACTTCAACTTGTTAGTTTTTGATTAATTGTTTGTCCCACATCGAATGTATACCAAAGATGTGTAGGATCTTATTAGTATAAATAGGTCCCTTGCCTTTGGGTTACAATTGCACCTTATTCTATTCCCTCCTCTCTTGGTAGGAAATCCTTAATTAAGGAAATCCTAATTTGTGGGTTATTTAACCCTAGTTGTATTTTGTTGGTGAGTTTAGTAAATTTGGCGTTGCGGTTGGCGGTGCCCGGAGACGTAGGCTATTTTCGCCGAACTCCGTTATCAATTTTTGTCTTCTTTTTATTTCTCATCTTTTATTTATTTGTGTTGGCTTATTTTCGATTGGAGTAGTGCTTGCAATATTTGTTGGAGGGGTATTTTTGTCCGCTGCGTTTGGTGTTTTACCCCAACAAGTGGTATCAGAGCCGAAGGTTCGCCCTAGGCTTATTCGGAGAGGCAAGCACTGCATTCGAGTTCGAGATGTCCAAGGAGGTCAAGGGCGCATCATCCTCTGCATTCATTCCGGCAAGGACGGTGATGCCGAACGTTAGACTCCCGGTGGAGAATTTCGATGGGACCGGTCATTTCGGCATGTGGCAAGGCGAGGTGCTGGATTGCCTATTTCAGCAAGGCGTCGACATTGCCATTGAAGAAGAGAAGCCAACCGACGTTGAAGAGAAGGACTGGAAGAATATCAACCGCTTAGCATGTGGTAAAAATAAAAATGATATTTTCAAGTTAATTCATTTTTTTCTNAATATAAAAATAATATAATAAGATAAATATAGTAAGTAATAAATAATACAAAAAACTAGAATAATTAAAATAGATAAATTAAAAATAAAATAAAATATCCTTCAATTATTAATTTTATTTATTTTTAGTTCGTAATTAATATATATTTAAAAATATAAAAATAATTACAATAATAAAAAGTAATATAAATAAAATTAAACTAAATAAAAATATAAAATTAATTTAAATTAATTTTAAAAACAACAATTAAGATGGACAAATAAAAAATAAGATAAATAGAAATAAGTTATAATTTACAGCTCATCCTTCACATAAAAGAAAAAGAAAAATATAGATGAAATTACAACACAGCTTTCTTGCACGCTTAGATGGCATTATTATTAGAATATCATGGAAACAAAATACTTTTTAAAACTTATAATTTATTTTGTATTTAATGATAAATATTGTTCTTTTCAACATTATTGACATGTAGTTGTGTAACCTAGTAGTGAAATTTTCAGATAGTTCATTTTAGCTCGGGTTAAAACCCCACTCTTTGTTAACATTTTAATTTTTTTTAATAAAACTTATAAGTGCAAAAATATGTTAATAAGATACAAAGTAGTGCCTTTAGCTTAGTGGATAGAGCATCTGTTTTGTAAGTAGAAGGTTGTGGGTTCGAGACCCCTACTTGGTCCAAAAATATTATTTTTTTTTAATTATGCCACCTAAGCGTCCATCATAAAAAAATAAAATTAAATGAAATTCAATCTAGTATAATTTATTATTTTATTTAATTCCACCAACTAATCGTTAATGGAGGTCGTGAAATTTATTAATTTATTTAGTTTAATTGAACACTAGTATAATTTTAATTAATAGAATTTGCTAATATGTGTTTACAGTAGTTAATTATCTATGCGCACTAAGTTAATTACCATACACATTTAAACAATTAACATTCATATCCCATAAATAAATATTAGGCATGTTAAATAAATAATACCAGTAAACATAAAAATAAATAAATAACTCAACTAATATAAATTTCTTATTGATGGAAAGATATTAAAAAAAAAACCAAAATATAATTTTCAACTGTAAAAAAATAATATAATTCTCAATTGTAATATTTAACTACTTATATTTTTCTAGGTTGTAATATTATTAACACATATAATATTTTAGATAATTTTAAATATTACTTGGACAATTTTTTTAAACATTCTCTAAATTAAAGAACTACATATATATATAGCTATACATTTAAGGAGGTTAAACTTAAGTATTTTTAGACATGTTTTCCGTAGAAAATAGTTTAAAAACTATTAAGTGACTTCACACATTTTTCAAGAATAATATAGAATAAATTAGATACTTTTTATATATGTAATATAATATTTTAGGTA